GCAAAATTTTAGGAAGTATAGGAATATCTGTAGGATTTTTGCTTTATAACATCAGCATTATCTGTTTCTATCTTAAAATGGAAAAAGGGGTATAGTACAAAATGATTTATTGTTTTTTCAAAGTTAAGCATAATTATGCCTGCTACTTTGTTCAATATTGTAGCTTAAGATTTGTTTTATTCTTTATGACTCATAATAGTAAAATTTAACACAATTTGGGTTCATCCCGTGATCGATGAAGCTTAGTAGAAGTGTAAGCAGTGATATAGCAAATATACTTGACTAAAGAAATCATCATGATAATAAGAGCACGCATCGAATTGACTTTTAGGAATTGATAACATGATATTGGTAATGTAGATCAGTGAAACTTGGTACATCTTTGGTGGGGAAATTATAGTGAATTATGGTGGGTTGAGTTATATTTGATTTGACTAAATTTTAGGATGTTTAGTTAATACATAAAATTGAGTAAATTATATTGTCACCCTTTTTCTGAAATTTCACTCACCTCTTGTTTTTTTCTATAATAATCTTCCTTAATTATTTAAAAAACATTATAACAGCATTCTTAATACATTACTTTAACTCTCTCCTTAATTATTTGAAAAAATTACATTGTGATTTCCTTAAGGGAGATTATTATAAACCTTAAAAAAGCGAGGTATTTAGTGCAATTATGTAGAACTTCAACAAGTGTCGGTGTAATGTTGGATGTCAAGTTGAAAAAATAATATTTTTATATGTCAAGTTTTATTGCACTTTTCATTTTACATTATATATTATTTTATTTGTACTTTTTAATATGATAAAAAAGTATTATGCATTAATATAAAATAGATTTATACAATCATAAAATATCATGCATGGTATATTTATTAAGTTTTACAATAATTATCTTAAAAATCACACTGACAATGATTTTTAATTGGTTGATAGTATAAAACTATTTATATTGACAATGTACGACCAATATCTTGACTTTCCATTTAAGTTTCAAAGAAGATCATTTCTCCTTTGTCTATGTTTTTGAAATGATCATAAACAAAAGTTAAAGATGATCTTTTTCTAAGATTAGACAATATCATTCAAGACCAATTTTTATATGTGGATAACATTATGTTGTTATATGTAGAGTAAAATCAAAGAAGAATTTGAACATTTTGATTGTTGATGTTGATGTGAAAACATGCATCATTACAAAAAAAAATGTTGTTTACAAAGAGGTGTTTGAAAAATTATAGGAGGTCAAACACATTACATAAATACCTAACATGAACTTGTATTTTATACCATGTTTATAATAATAATGAAATGAATAAAATAATACAAGAAGAGAAGTTGAATGTATTTTAAAAAAAACTTTAGTCCCCTTTTTGTACATATATGAATATACTCATATTAGTTCGAGAGTTTTTTTTGTTTAAAATAAATATTTTAATCAACCCTTTGTGATTGTTTACACCACAAAGTTCTCAACTCTTACAAGATTATCAAATAACAATATACTGTATCTAGATTAGATCTCATACCATAACATTTCAAACACGTCTTAGCTAGGAACACACTCCATTAATTATTGTTGGAGTGTAACAACAATCTTTCCAAGTTGTTTAAAGTGCAAATTTCTCAACTCTTATTGGGTTGCCAAATAAAACTGCACTCATAGTGCACTTAAATTCGACCACACACTACAACACCTCACAATAGTTTTGGTTAGGAAGTCTATCAACATGTTTTTAGTTATGTGTAAGGTTTTCACATATCACAATTTCTCACCCTAGAGTTTAATGAAGTTAATACACTACAATAGATGCACATAGTTACTAAAATTTATTGCTACACATACTCACTTGAGTAGGAATGTAGTTGAGATTTATCTAAATATAGTTGAGATTTATCTAAATTTTTAAAGAATTTTAAATAAAAAATTGCATAGATTGATGTTTATTTATTTATTTCAAATTGTTGAATACTTCATGCATCTTAATTTGTAATTGATATTCTATCATTGATATTATGTTCTAATGGAGTCATATATGACAACAAAATGGAAATACTCGAATTTTTTTGTTGTTGTATTAAAGTTTTGTGGGTGCTAATTGAATTTATTTTAATTTTACATTATCTAAAAGCTTATTTGATTTTTTTACGAAATCAACCCTTTCGAAAATAGATTATTAATTTTAGCTAATTATTATCTATTTCACTGGTTAGAATTTTTTGTAAGTATTAATCATGAGAGTAATTTATTACTCCCTCCATCCTAAAACTTTGGTTCTTCAATTTTTATTTTTATTTTTTAATTTTGTTTCGAAACCTTGATTCTTGGGGGATTGCAATACATGTTTACGTAATTTTTTCTTTTAATCATACTCTTATGTGTAGTTGAGTAATTAAGATTAATTTAAACAAAATATTAATTAATACTATATTTTAAGTAGAACATTATGTTTTACAAGAACATAAATGAAGTAATTAAAATATTGTAAAAATTTATAAATTAATAAACGAGAGTAACCTAATCTAAATGTATATAAATTATATATTTCATAATATGTGTGAAAAGTTAGAATAATCAAAATTTTAGAACATAGCTCATATGTTTTTGTGGCAATATGTTGTGTCTATTAGAACTAAGTATAACATGAGATGTCATGCTTTCAAACCACCTACACAGTAAGGCTATTTTTGGCCGATTTTTCTCTCATCACAATTAAAGCATGAATGATTTAATACAACATCTTTAAAAAAATCTTTAAAAATAGTTTGACACGAAGAATATTGACATGTCATATGCGAATTTGATTTTGAAAGTGTTATCAAGTTAGTTATTAATGGAGTAAATGAAAATTACCTTCATGTACATTTTATTGAAGCAATTAGATCACTCATGGTTTAACATTGGGACATCATCCTCTAACATACTTTTTGAGAAGAAAATTCTTATGCAGATTGACTAGCAGACAAATGAACCGGAGAGAACCGCCCAGTGTTTTAAAAACCGAACCGGTCATTGAACCGGTGAGAGTACTGGGTCAATGGGTCAATGGTTAGACCGGTGGGTCACCTATTAAACCGCATGACCCGATTTTTATTAAAAAAATTTAAAAAATATTTGTTATACATATTTTATACCTATAAATTTCAAAAAAAAAAATCACATAATACCTTAAAAGAAATTCAAAAAAATTACAAACACATTTTAACATAAAACAATCAGAACACATAAAAGCCTATACAAGCTATTCTTCTAGATGCTGAGATGCGGGGACATGATACTAACGGCTGGGGACCGCTGAAAGATCAGATGCATCTCGGCCCCTACCTGCTCCAGTGAAAGATGCACATATACAAGCTAAAACTACAGCCAACAGATCTGTCTTTTTTCCCAGCTGTCTGAAGAAACCAGCGACTACGCGGGGGTGCAGCAGTGCGGCTGTGCAACTGTGCGGCTATGCAGAGTGCGGCGGTGCAGCTGTGCAGCGATCCGACGGAGCGACGAGCGACGCGCGATGGTGCAGGAGGGTTGGGTTTGTGTCTTGAAATCAAACTGAAGAAAAAAAACTTAGGGTTTCAAAGCTTAAGCGTGCAGCAAATGGGGGCAGAGACATTAAAAATTGAAGGTTTTATCTTTTAAATTAAAAAAACGACGCCGTTTAATTTTTTTTTTCCCAAAAAAAGTGATGACCCGGTTTGGGTCATGAGACCCGCGAGTCGCTGGTTCAACCGGGTTTTTAGCCGGGTCACACCGAGTCATACCGAGTCAATTGCACATCCGGTCTGATCACTGGTTCGGCTCGGTCCAACCACCGGTTTCCGGTTCGACCGACCGGTCCAAACCGAGTTTTACAACACTGGAACTGCCCTTTGATAATCCTTACATCTTGTCCAATAGATGTAGAGCGTTTGATATTTGTTGACGCTATAGGAACTAGGGACGGATCTATATACATCATAGTGGGGGCACTTGCCCCACTACTATTTTAGGCATATATATAATTTTTTTATAAAAAATAATATATTTTAAAAATAAAATTTATATTTTAATAAAATAAACATATATTTTTAAATTATTGAATATATAAAACTTAAGTTCATGGAAGATGTCCATTCATTTAATGTTTGTCAAATTTTTTAAGGAGATTAATTATCATATATGACGAAGGATACTTCTCCATAACGATTAACGAACCAATTTTTTTTAAACTTTAATTAATATATATATATATATATATATATATATATATTCTTTTGTACTTTTTATTTATTATATACATTGACTTAAAAAAATCAAAATAGTAAAAATTATAAGATTTATGTTTTATTTAGAATTTTTATTATAAAATATGTTTTTAAATAAATTATTATCTAAAAGTTTATATTAGATATTAAAAACATGTTTATATAAAAAATAAATTAAACTTGATTTTTATAAAATTTAACATATTTATTTTTATATTTTTATTAGTGCTAAATTATTATAAAGTGTTCTATGATAGATAAATAAATTATATTTAGGACATGTATTTTTAATAAAAGTTAGACTTGTAACTACTAAATTATAATATAACCTAATTTGACCTGATTTATTTTCATCCCTAATCATAATCGTAAAACTTATAGAAAATAATTATGATATATATTCATATTTTTAAAAGTCATATATAAAATTTTTAATACTACAAAATATAAATAAATATTACTTCTATTATCTAAATTTTCTAGATCTGTCACTGATAGAACTATTATTTTTAGGCAGTATCAATCTCTCTCTCTTTTTTTTTCTTCTTTTCTCACTAATCAAAAAAATATATTTACACTTATTTAATATTTACATTTATATTAACACATTTTTATATATTTAGCAATAACAATATAAGTACATGAGACGTTCTGTAAGTAGTTTCTTTCGGTAAATTTGCAACATTAAAATCAACTCACGATTCATTCGCAGACCAAAAACAAATAAAAAAAATAAAAAATAAAATAAAAAAAGCAAATAATAAGAAACTCATTTGAATAGTGAAAACCCTGAACCCTCAACACATTACACATTTCATTTCCTTCTGAAACCCCATAGCCACAAACTCAACCATGCTTCGCATAGCTTCAAAGTTAACATCTAGGGTTTCTTCCTCTGCATTCCCCACCAGGCTCTCTCCTCTTCCCGCTTCATCCTTCCGATCATTCACCAATGGCTTGGAATTGGAAGCAGACATGGTCGTCCCCGACGCCATTAGGATGATCAACTACGCGCTGCGACAATGGAGGACCGAAAGATCACGTCAGTCTCACGTGCCCCCCTTTTCGCTCTTCTCCCAGAAACTCCGTTTCTCGGTGACCCCTTTGTGTTTTGTGGCTAAAGTTAACTTCTTTTTGGTTTTTCCGGTGTGTTTCTCTAGTTGGGGCGTTCCGGCTTGGCTGTTCTGTGTTGAAGCACTGTCTTTCGATGGAGTTTACTGAGGGAAAGGATCCAAAGCGCGAGAATTCGAAGGGAATGGCATTGCTTACTTTGTCCACGTTGTTGTATGAAAGGTATCTCCTTTGAGAGCGTTTGGCTGTGTTGATTGGTGTTTTTGTTTTCGTGTTGGAGCTCAATTTTGTGGGTGATTGGTTTAACTCTTTGAACATACCTCTTGTGTTAATTTTTCTTAGAGGAGAGTACAGTGAAGCAATAGAGAAGCTCGAGGGTGTTCAAGAATTAACCAATTCTTACTTGGGTGTTAGAGGTTAGTTCTTTTACTTTTTGTTGGTCTGTGCTATTGCTTTATTATTATTAGTATTAGGATTAGTTACGCTTTGTTTCTTATAGTTCATCAACTTAACCTATACCTATACTTAAAAAGGTCCAATTTTAGTCCTTATATGTATCAGTTTTGTTCCCTTTTAGTTCTTTTCATCATTTCTATAAAGACTAAAAAGTAATTTTATTTTTTTTTTTTTTTTTGTGGGGTACCTAGATTGTCTAAATTAAATTGATGTAACTCCAAGGGAAAAAAGGCACTACGTGCCTCCTTTAACAAAGAGAGAAAATAACAGATCTATCATGATAGTTTGGACAATTGTTAGAGGTTATGGATAGTTATTAAGTGTAAAATGGAAAAGATCAAAATGGACACGCAATGAGAGAATCGATTTTATTATTAGTAAGTATAGATTTATTATTAATATAGTTTATTATTATTATTATTATTATTATTATTATCATCATCATCATCATCAGAGAAATGGTATCAACACACTATCTGACATACTTCTTTCTAACACACTTTTTGATGTCCCTTTCTAGAGTTCTTCAAGTTATCTTCTTTCGATGTCTTATCTTTGAGTAGGTTGAAGTGTTTTAGGGATAACAGTTTTGTCTAAATATCCTTTCTTAATATCCCAACAAGAGAACTTCACTACACCTTCCTCTTCCTAAAAGATGAAAGGGTCATCAACTTCAAATGGTTTAATTCTTGCAAAAGTAGTGTTTTGTTGATTAACATAGTAAATTTTGACCTCATAATACTTTTGGTCAGCATCCACAACTTCCAAATTCCTTTTTTCATTCCAAAAGAATATTTTTTGATAAACATTAAAAGGTACTATTCTAATTCCATGTATCTATTCTCGTCCTAACAAAAAATTGAAATTAGCCTTCGAAGAGACTACCATGTGAACATAATCATCCTTATCACACTCTTCACTTGCACATCCAGAATTATCATACCATTTGAATCAAGAGATTTTTCAGCATAATCTAAGATTAAAATATTGTGAGGCCTTAAATTAGAAACATTCTTACCCAATCTTTTTAACATAGTTTTATAAAGGATTTTAATTATTGTTGCTCCATCTACTAAAACTTTCTCGATCTTCTAACCTTCGATCGTCATAGTTAACAATAGTGGCTTCAAATGACCTTTCATTTCATTAGTAGAAGGATAAAATAAACCCTAAACCCTAAACCCTAAACCCTAAACCCTAAACTCTAAACCATCTTTAGAGATTGGTTCAACATCTTCCATTTGAGTCATTAACACACCATTATCTACATTGCAACTCATCTTTGTTTAGCTTAAATTGTGAGCTATTTAGCTTTGAGAGTTGACTTTTGTTTAAAAAGGATATTTACTTTTATAAGCTAAGCCTTTTTTATTTTGGAGAGGAGATTATTTTTGTCAAATTGTCTTTGTTTTGATCTATTGCACCTATACAATGGAGGGTCCAAAGAAAATAAATTTACTTAAGCTCTGTTGATGTTGATTTGGTGAGTTAGTCTTTTCTACAAAGTCGGCATAGAAAGAATCGAAAATAATATGTTTAAATCCAACATGTTTGGTTTACACAAGGGAACAATCTCATTGTCTCTTTAAGTGCTATTGTAATGGTAATGGTATTGGTTCTAAAGTAAAAAAAAATCTTACACTTGGTGCCATTGTATTTGTATTTTTCTAGGAGGAAAATGGACACTTCATTTTAAAATGATTTCATAATAAAGTTATTTATCTTCCAAAATCTGGCAGTAAATTGATAAAGCCCAAAAATACATGTCCCAAGAAGATAGATATAGACCAAATACCACATTCATTAAGTCATGAACCAAAGAAATGGAGCTTTTCTTTTTGGCAAAGAAAGGTATGTCCTTACTTTTCGAAAGCTAATCTTTTGAAATGAGATTCATTTAAGAGGTTGACATCTCCCAATAATAAATTGATCACAGATTGAATCTTTGATCATGTTTAAAGAACACGTCATCTACCGACCATGTCATACTTTGTTGGTATGATATGGAGAGATTTCTATAGATGAAGAAAGGGATAGTAGAGAGCAAATATAGGAGGTGGTTGTTATGTTGAGTGAAAAAATGGTGGATTAGAAATGAATTTTATGTAGGGGTGGCAAAATGGGTTGTGGCTTACGGGCCGGCTTGTTGGCTCGCCAAAAATTGGCGGGCTAGGCCCATTATTCCAACCCGCCAACCTCCCCCCGCCAAGCCTGCCAGCTTGTTGACTATGTTTTTGCAATTTTTTTTCACATTTTTTTAATGTAATGTG